TGCCTGAACTCCTTTAGAAACTTATGAGAAGGTGCAGAAGGGATTCAGATGCTCAAACGACTTGCTCCAAGTCACAGCGGAAGCGTGAAGCAGAGCAAAGACCAGGTGTCCAAAAATCACACAAGCGCTCCAGCCCCTGGACCAGCTCCCTTCTCTCCTGTCTGGCCGATATTTCCTGCCATTGTGAAGGCTGCTTTCCTGGTGAGACGCCCTTGCCTGTAACAACACGTCCCCCATTTAAGGGTCAAATGAGAGCTCCTTGACTCAGCCGCTACGGTTGCTATTAGGCGGCTCAGTAAGAGGAGTGGTGCGCAACGACAGGCTGTCGGTGCAAAGTGAGCAGTATTTTGGCAGGACTCCGTAGAAATTTGTCATAGCAGGAAATCTGCCACAGCAAACTTGCATTGGTATTTTGTGGCATCCCACGGGTGTCTTTGTGGTAGCAGAACAATTATAGATCAAAGGCAAATGCTCCCTGCCCTTCCTGAGACCCGGAGAGGCAGCAGAGGCAAACAGTATCTCCCCCCGGGGGTAGAACCGAGACCGCAGGGGAGGCTGCAGTATCAGCATGGAGACAGCACTGGGACTGGGAAGGACACCAAGTACCAGACAGCTACGTGCTGTAACCACTGCCCCAGCCTCTCATGTGGCTGTAAAGACCTTGCAGAGCAGCCTGGTCTGCCTGGAAGGAGTCAGGGATGGGACCTGTAACTTCCTATATGTACTCACAGAACTGCCCAGACTTCAGGAGCTATCCATTTATCTTACGTTTTGGTGGGGAAATGAATCCATGAATCTCACTCCCAGCATAACATGCAGGGTATGAGTTCCCACCAGCTCAGTCCTGACAGGTGCTGGGCAATCAGCAACACCTTCCTTTGCAAGCAGAAATGCTGATTTAGAAGTGTTCCTGCATCCTTGAAGATGACTGTGATTTTTTTCCCTGCCTTAGTGTCAGGCTTGTGCCTGTTAGACAATCAGTCCCTTTTCTCTCCCATTGTTTTTATCCTGTTGCTAACACTTTTTTTCTAAAAGTTCAGTCCTCCTGCCTGATGTTACACCTGAGAGTTGATGTAGAGATTTGACTTAGAAGAGTGTCACAGTCCACACTGATGATATTCTTCTCATGTTCACCAGTTTCCTAATAATATGTTCATTGCCGATAGAGCCATACCTTCTATTTGGTTTATCAATTATAGCAGAATGAGAGTGTAATTTGCAGAACGTACAGGATGTAACACCTTTGGCATTGAACAGCAAGAGCCAGTATGTAAGAAACAGCGATTTAACCTAAGGCCGAAGTGCTCACCCTCCTGCAGCGTATCATAGCCACGGATAAAGACTAAATACAGTGCTAAGTACAAACACTGGGCCCATCCCAAATTCTGACTGTAGCTGAATGCCAGACCAAGACCTTGCCTGACTAATTGTATGCATAGTTGTTACTCATAATTTGCTTTTTTCAAGGCAAAACTATTTCATTAAATGAAGAATTACGGATGAAAGGGTGGTACTGCAGGTTTCCTAAGTAAGTTGTATATAGTACAATATATTATAATTTTGATCCAGTACGTTACGTCATAAATTTTAATCAGTTGTTCAGGTGGGAAGTACAGGACTGAGACAGGATCAAGCCCATCTTCTCCAGATTTGGTTAGAGTCTCTCTGTTTTACTTGCGCCAAATTTTCCATGTTGCAAGACAATAAATGCAATACATTTTCTGGTCACAACCAAGAGGAAATAAGCAGATTGTAGTTGCAGGTATTTTAGAGGGAGAATCAGACAGTTTCAAGAGATCCAGGACGGGAAAACCATTTGTAAGCTGTGACCAATGATGAGAAAATACCCCCCTGAGGATTATAATCATCAAATACTGTGGGTGGTTCAGAATATGCTCAACAAGACCTAACCGATGTGAGGCTACCAAATGTCAGGGAAACCTTACGGATCGATCCCTTCAGCACGCGCTCTTGGCTTCTGCAGCTCCCACTGCGGGCAATGGGAAAGCCGTGCCGGGAAGGACTGTAAGAAACACTACTGGAAAAATTGCATCTGGTTTTCTCCCTGTCTGAAACTAATTTCACGGTAAATTCACTTTCACACCGCAACACACATGCCTTTGTAATGGATGATTTGCATTTTCATTAAATAAAGTCAACTCAGTCTGGAAGGGCCATGGGTTAGTGACTAATCCCATTCTCCTTGAACACCGAGGTGAAATTTCCTTTCGCTGCAGCGCCGGTTACCCTTGGCTCGCAGGCGCAGCGAGGCTCGGAGGAGACCCCGCGCTCCTCTGAGCCTGCTCATGTGCCTGGAGCGGGCGGGCGTGTGAGGAGCTGCAGGACTGAATGGGCTGCTAAAAGCATTTTAGAAAGAGTAGTGCCCCAGTCCTGCAGGTGAACACACAGCCCATTACTTGACCCTGTATCCTTTCACCACAACACGGCAATTCCTTACCATTTTGAACCCATTCACTATCAAATTGATTGTGTTAATGCAAATGCTGGGAAGAAAGGACTGTGACTGCTTGTGGAAAATATGGTTTAAGAAATTACACAACACAGCTGAACATGAAATTAGATTTTCAACCTCCCTCTGAAGCCACAGCAACACGAGGTTGCTATTTCCATTTCAGGCTGGTGACTTTGCTGAGTTTCAGAAAGGCCTGAGTGCCTGAATGCATACATGTTTTTCTCCGACAAGTTTAAACAAAAAATAATCTCCCTTTCTACAAACCTGGCTTTGCCCTGGTTGCTTGGCAAGTAGCTGAAATTAAGTTTCACGTTTTGTTCCAAGTAGGAAATACATGCATGGCAATAGAGGAGATTGCCAGCTTTGGCTTTCATTGTTTAGATTAAAGAATGCTAAAATGCAAGTCAAAAATACATTTAATATGCTGGTAAGATGACAAAACCAACTGAATTGAAAACATATAGACCAAGCCTTGTGGAATACCAGAACAGTAGCTTGCATTTTAACTGGGATAAAATTATTTAATTTTATGAGATATTTAGATTCTTCTAAAATGTCTGTAATAAACAGACACACAAACACTTCCTTATAAATAGCATATATTTTCCCTGAAAAAGTTTGTTGAAAATTCTGGCTCCATTCAAAATTTGTCATTTTTTTCAGCAACTAAATGGATAACATTTTCAAATTCCATTTTTTAAAGTTGAAAATTTCTGCCAAATATTTTGAAGACCGGAGACTTACTTACAATTTTTTTAAAAAATTGCAGAAAATACATCTTCTTATCCCACCTGCTACAATTTTAAATATTCCTGACATCTTACTAAATGCTAGGTGTCTGGATGACCATGTTATTCACATGGATAGTATATTCACAATAATAAGATTATGCAGAGGGGATGTTCTCCATAACAAATATGGGGGGGAGGGATGTTGATTTTAATAAATAATTTTTATTTACATAATTGAGAATGTGGCCCTTTCTCTCCACAGTGGCAGCAAATAATAGAGCAAACTGTAGGACGTTAGAATTAATTAAGGCAAATTTATGTCATTAAGATGCCTTTTGCTTGAAGCATTAATGAATGCAAGCTTTAAATTACTAGATTTTAGGACATAATATATAATAAGCACAGAGGCCATAGGTACCTTTTTTAAAAAGAATGTCAAGTATTTTACACTGCCACTTACGTTACAGATTTTGCAGTGTTTTGAGATACATAGGCTCAGGCACAGTCCTGTCTGGAGTGAAATCAATAAGACCAGGACTAGTGCCAGTGTTAATTTAATGCCCCAGAGTATTCAGCAACAAGATTTTACCTTGCTTCAAGGTGAGGCAGGGCTGTTCATTAGTTTGCAGACCTGATGCAGATCTGCCTCCCAGCACCGGCTTTGTGAAGCTGGCTGGTGTCTCTTGCTGTTTGTTCTGGTGTTTTCACATCCTGTTCCGCGTTGCCCACCTTACACAATGCTGGCGCAGGTGCTCGAGAGTTAAAAGTCATGGCAGTTACACCGGGGAGGATGAAATACCGCAAACAGGCTGTTCACAGACAGTACGATGAAAAGGGAGGCAACAAACAGCGGGATGGCAGGTGTTCGCGGTGCTGTTTTGAAGACAGTGCAGCTATATATAGTGTGCGAATATAGATCTTTTTACTAATTGGAGCCTAACTCTGCTCTTTTCCTGAGAAGTTTCTCCAGTGGAAGTCATTCCCTCATTTGAACTAAATAATGTAAATATCAACTCATGGAAAATAGGATGCCATACGTATTTTTAACTTTTTCTTCTTGCCATTTACGCCTTAGCAACGTGTCTTTTGCATGATAATTTAATTTTTAAATAATAACTCCCAGCCAAGGATCTTGAGAACTTTCCAATACTGAGCTATCTCTATTTTACGTATAGACAAACTGAGGCAAACACTACTTATTCAGCTCACCCAGGG